CAAGTTATGATTTTTAATAACATAGACATTATGTTTGTTTCTTGCGCATTTACCAATACATCCAAAATTTTACTTTTTACATAATTGTTCAAAATCATTTTATGCAGTATAAAATGTAGACATTCGAACTCTTCAAAAAGTATTTACGCAAGCATGGTAAAAAGGTACTAAAGGAATATACATTTTGTACATGGATTTGGAGAATTACTGTCTTCTTATGCACAAAAAAGCAAAACTTCTATACAACTACGACATATACTTATAATCCTCCAGTTGTTTCTTCACACAGTCGTTAATTTGCTAAAGATTTTGACCTGCACTTTTTTCATGAAGAACATTTAAAAAAATAATATTTTTATGTTGAATTGCAAAATATATAATTAGAAAATTCCTTCTTCAAATATTGAGTAACGTAAACATTGTATCTGTTTCAAGCTACAATATGCGATTCGATAAAATTTTCATAAACATTTGTAACATATTTCGAACAAGTACTAATTATCTGAATTTTGTTATACATATACATGTGTATTGGGTATGTCACTCAAAGATTCGTCGCTACAGAAAAAATTTGTTATATTCATGAAATCGGTTTGGTTTTTTATAAATATAGTAACTCAGAATTCGATTTTAAAATATAATTTAAGAAAATTATGTTTCAAAATAATAACTATAAGTATATATATAATTATATAAATTTAAACAATTTGGTTTAGATATAAATTTATAAATATACATATATTTAAACTTACAAATTTTCTACATTTATAAACACAAAACCGATATGGCACAAATAAGTCAAATTGTACGCCATTGTCTTCATGTATATCAAATCACTTATGCCAAGATTGTCGTTGTCGCTGGTCATGAGATGCTACTTAAAAATGTCGCTACCATCATTTCCATTGTCAAATGTAGATAAATCTATAAAAACATTTGTAATATATAAAAAACAAATATTAATTAATTAGTTTTTGCTGTTTTTATCATATTTTGATTGAGTATACAACTAAAAAAATAAAATGTAATGATAAATATTAATAAAAAATAATAATTAATAAAATATGATTGAAACTTACGATCATTTTTCTTTCAGTTTGCGTGGCTTGTCGACGGTCCAGCTTGATCGTGTGCTGTTCCTTGCTCCAAATTGTTTTGATGTATACTTTTCCCTTTTACTAAATCCCCAGCATCTGTATAACATTTTTGCAATCCACTGTTTTTTTCAGTTTGCAATTTCCAAAATATTTCTTCTTGTTGTATTCTCTTCCAAACGGTTGGATGTTTTGGCATATGTCGTCTTAAAAGTCTCATATCCAAATGATAGTTTATAGTTGCTTCACAAATGGTACATTTTGCAATATCTTCTTTCAGTTCTGCGTATTTAAAAACCCAATTTTCGTGTTCATAGAACATGAAATCTGTTGTCTTTTGTGAATAATGATTTTCTATGTGATTTCTCTTGATTTGGTATTCATTTGACACAGTATTTTCACATATGATACATTCTATTTCATCTTTTTCTTCCCGTTTCGTAAATCTAAAATATTTCCAGTAAGCGTCATTCTCCATGTCTTTAGACTCTTCAAAACCGAAAGTAATTGTATGTTTCTGTACGTGTTCTCTAAGCGATTGATGCTTGACATATGCAATTGTGGATTGGCAAAATTGACATTTTGCTCGAAAATTCGCAAACATTGAATAACATTTATTCAAAAAGTAGTGCTTTTCAGTTAGATATTTCCAAGATTGTTTACCTGGTAACTCTTTTTGGCACTTTTTTTCATGTTGCTTCGTGTGCAGTTTTAACCCATTATCATGTAAATCTAATTTTACAATTTCTGGTTCATTTGTACAAAGCTTACATTCAGCAGAAAAATCTCCAATTTGTTTCAAGTATTTCCAAATCCAATATTCTTTTTTATGACGTCTTAGATTTTGTTCTCGTTCTAAATGCTTTTTTACGTGTTCCGATAAGTAATCTAGCGAAAAGTCAATTGGGTCGGTATCACATAAAATACATTCTGTCTTTTTTTCTCTTGTCAGCCTAAAAAATTTCCAGTATCCGTTATTCTCGTTATTTTCTTCATGCGTATAATAATCTCGATGCTTGTTTTCTACGTGTTTCTTAAAGGATTCTTTACGTATTGTACTACACTGCACGTATTTAACAGTCTTTTTGCAAGATTGTATTTTACACTGTACTGTAAAATTATCTTCTTTTGTAAATTTTTCCGTTATCCAACCGTACAGTTTTTGAGTTTGGTCTTCCCAAGACATTGTGATCTGATCTGTATGATAAAACGTATTTAACTGAACACAATGCGAGCATTATTTCGTTGAAAAGTGTCTGATCGAAAAGGTCGAAGAAAGTGACGTACAGTTTTTCTGTTTGAAAGTAAATACTGACAGCGTTCAAAACTACATAACAA